ATACAAGTTAACCAGTGAATGGCTGTAAGTCATGCTATAGAGGTGAGGTTTCTTTTCATGTTATCAACAACCAATACCTACAGAAAGGTGTTAAGTGATGTAATAGGGAAAAAAAAAATGGAGGATAAGGTCCAAGAGGCCTAGGTCTCAGTCCTGGATTGGCCATGGACTGGTTAAATTTGCAGTAAACAATTTATTGATCTTATGTCTTAGTTTTAATAACTGGTAATTGGATATAACTAACTCACCCTTTGTCAGTTCACAGGGATGAATATTTACATAAGATATACAAAATGAACATACCATGAAAATTATAAAGCATTAAGTAAATGCCAAGTATTTTTTTTAATACTGTTTAACATTCCCCTTTAAGGATTAAAAGCTTTATCTGGGGGCTACAGTTCTTAGCCTTTCAACACTCTTGGTAGTTACATTTTCAGACTACTTCTCTCTTATCTGAAAGCCACAATGAACTCTTGAGGGAAAAACTCTTTACTTGTGTATAGTGTTTATACATTCCATTAGTATCAGCTTCCTTTATTTATATTTTATGTTGGTACAATACTTTACTCTTATAAGCTTTTGACACTTTAGGATTCAAAAGTCATAATTGACTTTTGCCATATAGCAAATGTCATGTTACATCCTAGAGCCATGTCTATTTTTGGCAAATTGCTGATCTTTTCTCTTTTTTTTTTCAATCCAGAATAAACTTGCTTCCTAAAATTAGCCTGGATTGGCTCAACTACACTCTTAGAGTCAAATAGTTAAGACCATGTGAAGTCTAGTACATTCTGTGCCTAAAAGAATCCATTTCCTTTAATAGAGAGGTATAACTTCACTTTGAAGAGATGAGTGTTTCCAAATTAATGTAGCAAGTCAAGTTGTTTTTTTTGGTTTGAATTTTTTTGTTTTTTTTTTTTTTTTTACAGCAGCATTTATCATAGCCAAGATATGGAAACAACCCAAATATCCATGGACAGATGAATGGATAAAAAAGATGTGGTGTACATACATATATATATATAAATGGAATAATACTCAACCATAAAAAGAATGAGATCTTGCCATGTGCAGCAAGATGGATGGATCTAGATAGTCATATGCTAAGTGAAATAAGTTAGACAGAGAAAGAAAAATAACATATGACTTTATTTACATGTGGAATCTAAAAAAACAAAACAAATGAACAAAGAAATAAAACTAAATCAGACCCATAGATACAGAAAACAAATTGGTGGCTGCCAGAGGAAAGGGAGGTGGAGGATAGGTAAAATAGATGAAGGGGGTTAAAAGGCACAAAATTCCAATTATAAAATAAAGAAGTCATAGTGCTGAAAAGTGCAGCATAGAGAATGTAGTCAATAATATTGTACTAACATGTGACAGATGATAACTACACTTATGGTGAGTATTCTGTAATATATATAATTGTCAATTCACTATGTTATATACCTGAGACTACTATACTAGTGTATGTCAACTCAGTTTCAGTTAAAAATAAAAGGAATTAGGGGTGATTGGGTGGCTCAGTCTGTTAAACATCTGAATCTTGGTTTCAGCTCAGGTCATGATCTCAGGGTCATGAAATAAAGCCCAGCACAGGGCTGGGCACTCAGAGGGGAGTCTGCTTCTCTCTCTCTTCCTCTCACTCTGCCTCTCCACCCACTTGAGCTCTCTCTTTCTAATATAAATAAATAAATCTTAAAGAAAATAAAGGAACTGACAACAACAAGTTAGCATTGCTATCTCCATTTTCTGGTTTTAGAAACTAAATCCCAGAAAGTTTAATTTACTTAATACTCCACAGAAAGTGGTGGAGGTGGAATTCAAACAAGGTGTCTCCAGCAGAGGGAGGTTAATTGAACAGAGTTAAACAAACAAACAAACAAACCAGTACGTTTGGCATTTCAAGTTATAACCTCAACTTTAGTTGAGCCTCAACTTTGCCACACCTTTTTAAAATCTTAACTTTTCTGAGTGTCAGTGTCTTCCTTTGTAAATTTTAGATGATATTAACAAATATCTGGAAGAGCATTTTTTAAAGATTTTATTTATGTATTTGAGAGAGAGAGAATGAGAGATAGAGAGCACGAGAGGAAAGAGGGTCAGAGGGAGAAGCAGACTCCCCGCTGAGCAGGGAGCCCGATGTGGGACTCAATCGTGGGACTCCAGGATCATGACCTGAGCCGAAGGCCATCACTTAACCAACTGAGCCACCCAGGTGCCCTGGAAGAGCATTTGAGGGAAAAAGAAATAATACTTTAAAAACGATTATTGCATAGTTATATAATAGGTACTTAATAGATGGAGACTATTAAGTATTTGCAGCTTTTAAATTTCTTTTAGCAGATGATTATTCCCTACCACATATTAGTTAACAAGGTTATAAGAAAGAAAAATAATTTGGAGTCATTCTAATATTTTATTTATTTATTTATTTATTTATTTATTTATTTATTGCCTCTCCATAGATGTAAAGATCTGAGAAATCACTATATCAGGCCTCATACTAGGAGCACTTTCTCCTATCAGGGATTCTTGTCTCTTCATTTCTTTTCAGAAACATCCCCAGGTTTCCATCTTTATTATACATCTAGAATAAATTCACTTTCCTAGACATAAGACTTTATTCAAAATATCTCTTCAAGGAGAGAATGTCATTTTCTGTTGTTTTCCCTAATTTATCCATGTGCTTTTTGTTGTTCCTGGAGCTTGTATTCCTAACAGTCACTATAATGATGTCCTCCAAGGACCTTGGCCCTGATATAGGCTTCTTTCTAAATGCGTTTTGGGAATGAGATCTGGCACTTTTGACTTAGACCCTTAAGGAATAGTGACAATGACATGTCACTTTCCACTGCTTTGAATTCCTACAATGCAAAAATTTCATGCAGGTTTCTGCTTTTCTTCTCCTGTCTTCTGCCTCTTCTTCTAAATGCTCTGGTCTCCAACTTTAGCCCTTGAGAATTACCAATTAGTAGTGAATGTGCATTTGGAATTATAGCTGGGTACAGTGAGGTCTAGTGCCATTTGGCAAGAGTACCCAGTCTTCATTAAAGAAAGCTTTTTGGCCTGGGAGACTGTTGCATAACAATGTTCAAAAAGTCTCTTATGAGACAGTCTTTTGAAGGCCATATTAAGAAATAAACATACGTGTGATCCTTTAATGAGTAACAAATATGTACCCCTACTGTAGGGTATTTATTGGAATATCTGGAAATAAGCAGTTTCCTCCCCCACCCCAATGTTCTTTTACATTTGAAGAAGTGTCACTTTACATCTCTGTTGAATTTTTATCATCATTATCTGGAAAATTCTCATGGAATCTCAGACATCCAGTGGTAGGAAGAATAATGATCCACAGAGATACCCAAGTCCTAATCCTCAGAACCTGTGAATATGTTAGGTTAAGTGGCACAGAGGAGTAAGACTGCAAATGAAACTAAAGTTGCTAATCAGCTAGCTTTAAAATAGGGAGATTATGCTGGAACCTTTGAGTGAGCCCACTGTATTCACAAGAGTCTTTAAAGTGAAAAAGGGAGGCAACATAAGAGAATTAGAAGCAGGTGGAATGACACAAAGACATGTAACAGAACTGGCTTTGAAGATAGGGGGAGGGGGCAACAAGCCAAGGAATGTGGGTGGCTCATGGGAGCTAGAAAAGGCAAGGAAATGGATTATCCCCTAGAACCTCTAGAAGAAATGAAGCCTTGCCAGCAGCTTGAGACCCATGTCAGGCTTCTACAGAATTATAAGACAATAAATTTGTATTGTGTTACATCGTTTAATTTAAATTGTTTACATTTACGGTCGTTTGTTATAATGCCTGCATAAAATTAATGCACATGGTTTCTTTCCTTTTCCAGTAAGAAGAGAGGGATGATAAACTAGTGAGGTTTACATGGGTGTTAAAGGCAGAGAATGTAAGGGCAAAACTAGAGAAGGCATTATCAGGGGATGTTAATTTCTCTTTTTCTTCCATATTCTCATCACATCTCTTTCTACATTCCTGCGAAAATAATTCTCACTTAGAGACACATGGAGGCACTTTGACCATTTATGGATTTGAAATAAATTATGATCTCTGCTGGGTGGAGAGGAAAGTCCTTGCCCTTTTCCAGAAAATAAACAGATTATCATAATAAAATAACTATTTGAACCATCTATGTAGGTTGAAACTGTTACACCTTATAAGAAAAAAAAAGAAGCAATTCATGTGTATTGCAGTTTTATGTAATTGTATCTTAGCAATTTGTTCAAATGATCTTTGCTGAAAGAGAGAAAAGGACTACTGAATAATCTTAATACAAATCTTGAAGAAAATAAGACATTAGATCTTGCTGAGAATCAGAAATGATTGCCTCTTCACCTTTTACAAAAACTCAAAGATACTTTGGAAGATTGCTATCAGAAAATCAGTGCACCACAATCAGTACCATCAACAGAACTAAGCAGGTAAAAATCTTGAATAGATGGTCAGTTTATACAGGCAACTTAAAACACTAAACATAAGAAACTTCTGGAAGGGCCACTTTGACTTCTATTCTCTTTGCCTCTTTTCATTTCCCCCCCTTGTGACATTTTTGAGTGCAATATTGTAATGAGCACTGCAGTGTGCTTGAACTAATCCTCAGCATCCATAGATAAATGGTGATGGGGATACTGAAATAAATTTTATAAAACATCTATAGTGTAGAACAGATTTATTAAGTCTTTGTTACAGTTCATAAAATACATGAATGAGAATTTAGAAGTTTGAAATGTTATCTCAAAGCAGAGATGGCCCTAAGAGTTTTCTATGATATGTGGTTGATAAATTGATGCTTATAGTGTGAGGTTAAGATTTGGGAAGAGAAAACAAAGAGAGACAGGGGATGGGTTCTACTCAAAGAATTATAAGGTAAGTTCTTTAATTTTAGACATTATTTAAAAAGGATATAGACCATAGTTTGAAAAACAAACAAACAAAAAACATAGGAGTATCTTTCATGTTGCAGAGCATCTTGGATTGGATTCTGAAGTTGCCAAAGCCAACACCCTGGGTTTTGTTGGATGCCTGTCTTCAGTCCAGTATAACCAGTTTGCACCCCTGAAGGCAGCCCTACGCCATGCCACCATTGCACCTGTGACTGTCCATGGGACCCTGACAGAATCAAGCTGTGGTTCCATAATGGATGTGGATGTGAATGCAGTGACCACGGTGCACTCTTCATCAGGTACACAGGAGAATACCCAGGGAAATTGCCTTCTTCTGATAGCACTACTTTTGATATCTTCAAGAAGTTTCTAGGTTAAAGGCTAGTATTACTCAAGTCCTTACTTTATAAGATTACAGGTAGTTAAGAATTATGACTGGTTCCTCATGGTTGAATTTTATTGAATTGTATTGAATATAACCCTACTTTTAATATGATGAGTAGTTAGAACTCAATGCATATTATAGATGATAGATAGATGATAGGTAGATAGATAGATAGATAATGACTACTGCTCTGAGGATCGAAGAGTTTAGGGTCAGAGAGAGGTAGGCTGGTTGTTGAACTGATATAATTCATGTGATTAAAATCAGCCTTCCATAATAATAGGAAAGCCCACAGCATTATCATCCATACATCTTCTTTTATTTTACTACTCCCTAAAATACCTTTTCTGTCTTTCCTTAGTCACCATCATCATGAGTATCTTGAAATGTCCCTGGGATTTGTCTTAATCAAGTGTGGTAATCAACTGCCAAATAAGTTATTAATCATGAAGAAAGAAGGGGGACTGAGTTTTGCTGCTGCCTACTCATCACCACGCTTGGTGTTTTCCTGGCAGCAGTTAGGTGTAATAGAAGGAAACAGAATGTGACAGTTGACTAGCCTTGATTTGAATTCTGATTCTGCCATGGATGAATTGTAGAACTCCAGACAAGTTACTAAATAACTTCAATCTGATTTCCTTATCTGTGAAGTGGGAAAAATAATACCTCATGTTGTAGGTGTTTCCTGAGGATACAGGGATACTGATGGCAGTTGTTATAGATCCTAAAAATTCCATGTGTACTATATGCATACATATGGGTATTATTACCTCCTTTTAATACATTTGCAGATTTGCTATTTAAAAATATATCTAGCTCAATGTCACCAGGCCAACGTGTGGCAGAGCAAGATTCAAATCCAGGTCTACAAGCCTTCAAACTTGATGTTCTTTTATCTTCTACCATATATGTTAATGTACGTGTAGTGAAATCCCTCTCTCTGTCAGTGAGGGTTTCTTGGGGGTATTAATCCTCCAGCACTTTTGTCTTTCCCTGTCAATGGACTCCAAATCCTTGTGCAGCTAAAGAAACCTCCGAAGCATAGAGCATATGTGTGCTTGAGGTAAGAGGCCATCACCATGGAGTGGGAGGGTCTAACAGAGCAGAGAGGGACCTCTAGGTTAGGCTGAGAGGTAAACCATAGGTGAAAGCAGATAGCGGTGGGTTCTACCATCATCTGTTTCAGCCCATTATCTTACAGCTGACATAGAAGCTAATAGTCATGGAATTATGGGGTGGAAGTTGTATACTTTTTGTGTGTATGTTTGTTCGGGTTCCTAAAAAAATGCAAACTCAACTGTTTGAGAGTACTTGGTCTAACCCACAGATGTGTCCATCTCAAGTCCGTATCCTTCCTGTATACAGAGTGAGGAGTGAAGTGACATGTCTTTTTATCCTTGCAGATCCCTTTGGGAAGACGGATGAGCGAGAACCACTCACTAATGCCGTTAGAAGTGACTCGGCCGTCATTGGAGGTAAATCATTCCTTGTTGCTGAAAGCAGAGGGGGCAAATGATTCTGTTCTTGGGAGAAATTCCTTAATTATAGCCATCTAGTATCCAGAACCTTGCAATGATCTGCAAGACCGTGAGCCTTTTCATGAATAGTCATGGGTGCTGTATGATCAAAGGCTCCCTCTACCCCAGCATCCACAGTCCATGGATGCACCCTGTCCTGATCCATCAGGCAGCTGACTACTGAGTCAACAGCTGGAACACTTACTTAGCGACAGGCAGTGTGCACCCTGTTCATCTCATCCAGTTGTCAGTTTTCCTAAAGCACAAAGCACACCAATAAAACATATGGGAAGAAGCCATGTTGGGGCAGACAGATGGGTGAAGCCCCAGTCCTGTCAGTTTTCTCCACCAAGTGATTTGGGTTGGATCTAATGAGCAGGGTGAAGCCCACAGGAATGGAGTTTTGAATCCAGCAGTACATATGGTTAGAGATACAGATCTTGTCTGTTCTGCTGTGAGCTCAGCTCTCCCTCCCACCTCCCCTGTCTTTCCATTTTCTCACTGCCTGTTGGACTCACCCATTCTTGTCCTCCTTCAGTCTGGCTTCTGCCTCCAGTAGCTTGTTTTTTCCCTTCTGGGCCTTGCAACACAGAACGATTCCCAAACCTTGTTTAATGTAAATGTCCATGAGATACTGAATTAATTGCCATCCAAGAACCATAGCCCTAGCAGGTGCCCCCCATCACTGCCTCTGGGAGGCTAGATTAACTGATCCACACCAGATGGAGTTCTTTAAAAGTCAGCAGCATCCATTCATTTAACTTCTACATAATGAGTCTCAGCTATAGGTCAGGCCTTATGCTAAGTATAGGGATACATGGGTGAAAGCCATGGAGTCTGTCCACAATGAACCCGCAGCAACAACAGAACTAGTGAATGGTGTTTTGAGGGAGGAAGTGCAAATGGTTGTGGGAGCACAGAGGTGCACCATTACAATGCAGTTGTGAGGAACGAAAACCATGAACTTTCCTTAAGGAAGTTCTTAAAATGTCTGACCTGAATTTCTGCTTCAGGGGAAAGAGTCCAACTTGATTTTTGTTTGGCACCAAAAAATATAGGAAAGAATGTAGTGCCTGTTTCTCTTCCTACAATTTCGTATTTGTCAAGGGGAGAAAAGACTTGTGACTGCTGACTTTTTCCCACCCAGTTACATGCTTCTGTGAGTCTCTAAGAGCAGGAAAGGCATCCCAATCCCTCTGGAAAACTCCTCCAACTCTGAACAGTTTGTGTACTAAAGGAGTAGAAACTGATTCTGTATTTTATCTCATAAAGCTGTAGCCAAACATGGTAGTCACTCACGACCATCCAGTTTATTCATGTTTGTTAACTTAGGTGGTTTTACTCTGCCTTGTTCTAAAATAGCCAGGAAAAATGCTGGATAGTGGTTTCTGAATATTAAAAAGAAAAAGAAAAGAAAGTAAACAGTCTTAATCATGGCCCCAGTTCTGATACAAATCAGTGGAAAATGTGCAGCAAATATATTTAACTTTCAAATGCCTATGCTTATGTAAATAAGAATGCAGGATGCCCAAAACTATCTTTGTAAAAGAAACACAGTTCGCCACTATCCATTCTACTTAGAAAGAAAAACAAAAACAGCAGAATGCATGCTATCTTGCGAATAAACTTATCTTTGACTATCATAAATACTTCTCATATTTTAATGTTGAAAATCCCATATGTATAGAAACATTCTATCTTTAAAAGTCACCAGTTTCTACATTGTCACCCTCTTTTTGCTGACTTTGCTCTTTGCATCCCAAGAGGCTTCCTGGCAAAGGTAGGGACAAGACCTTCGTTCAAGTCAGTGAGGGCAACTTGCCGAGTAGCTGCAGCAAAATCACATGCAGTCAAAGCAGGCATGTCTGACAAATGTGACCTAACTGGAAGAAGTCTGCTATTTCAGTTGACTCTGAATCTCTGAACGACAGAAGCATACCGTCGCTGAACTGTCTCATCCCTAGCAGAGTGCACAGCAGTGTAGGAATGCCCTACTTGTTTGGCAAACACTTCATTATTAACAAAACATGTTTAGCAAAGCAAAAGGAAACCCTAAATGAATTTACATCAGGAGAGCATGTATTGAGGTCTGGGATACTTCACTATGGTTTTCTAGGGTGCTAAAGTAGTTCTGAAATACTCAGTTGCAAGAAATGACAAATGACTGAACATGACAAATGCGCTAATTAAATGATTCTGTCACATTCTTTAAATCAAGTCTTGGAGAAATAATTAAGAAATATTTTGCCAGTCTGAGTCCTTATTGATATGATAGCATTCTCCGATTTAGACTGGTTTTCTTCCTGGCCAGTCTGAAAGAGGAGGTGTTTTAGTGACTGAAGACTGAACACATTTCAGCAGGTCTTCAGTTCTGGGCATGCAGCAGAGTTTGTTGCTGTTTGTTTTGTTTTGTTTTGTTTCTTTCTCCCAAGTGCCTTCCCTGTCTAGACTGAATCATCTCTTCTGAGTGTATGATCTTTGATGATTTCCTTCTCTCTTTCTTTCCTCTTTATCGACAGGAGTAATAGCAGTGGTGATATTCATCATCTTCTCTATCATCGGCATCATGACCCGGTTCCTTTACCAGCATAAGCAGTCACACCGCACTAACCAGATGAAGGAGAAGGAATACCCAGAAAATTTGGACAGTTCCTTTAGAAATGACATTGACTTGCAAAACACAGTGAGCGAGTGTAAACGGGAATATTTCATCTGAGAAACTGCAGGGTCACAAAATATTCTCTTTTGGGTTGTTGTTAAATTTTTCTCCTTTCTTTTAATTTTGGTCATTCTCCTTTTCCTATCCATTTGCCAATTATTTTTGGCACATACTTGTATCAACCACAGCATCTATCCCCTTGATCCAGCCCGGAAGACCAGGCAGCTATGGCCACTGCCTTCCTTTCTGACAAACTTATTGTGGTGATAATGATCACTTAACAGACTGACTTTACTCCTCTAGACAAAGAAGAGACACATGTGTGCACACGTGCATATTTAGTTCTGTGTTTCCAGTTTCTAAGTAAGATGCACTCTTTAGTTCCATAGCCATTCTGTCTTGCATTAAACCTCAGGCTTACTTTGAACCTGAGCTCTGTGACATAGGCATATGACACTCATCTTTGACATCCTCCTTCATCTCAAGTTCATTCCTACCAGGGAACTCAGGGTAAAGAAAGAAGATGCTAAAGGCCTGGTTCACTTCAGTGGCACTTTCAAAGGAATAAGAGAAGTTTGTTTTGTGCTGATTTTCCTTACCATAGGACGCCCATTGCCCTAACTCATCACCCTTTTTCACTTTGACTCTTATCCCCTGAGTATTTCAAATACAAGATCCCTGATAGTAGTGAGCTATTGCTTTGCTCCTTTCTTGCCACTCTCTCCTGGGGCTGACACTTTAGAACAGCACACAATAGCATAAACCTAGGGGAAGCATGGAAAATAGTAGCTTGAAACTAGGAGGTAAAAAAGAAAGCTGCTAGGAAGTAGATGTTCTATAACTTCAAAAATGCCTTTTCCCGTTTTTTAAGAAATGTTAGCTAGGCTATTCCTGGGATTATTATACTGAGGTATATATATACTGCAGCATAAAGAAATTCTAATAAAAGTCTAAAATAGTACCTAGTTCCATGAAAGAGCTTAAACCATCTTAACTGAGCTTTAAAAACAAACAAAAACAAAAACAAAATAATAATTAAAAAAACTGCATGAAAGAAGAGAAATACCAAGCAGGATTCTTCCCTTCCATCCACTCACCAAAGATCTAGTGAATAAAGTGAATGCAGGTTTCATGTTTTAAGGCAGACACAATGACCCTCCTCTGTCCATGGAGCCATTCTCTGTGAGATTCTGGGTACACTGACTGATTGGGCATTGTGGTTTGTCTAGCAAACCCTCACTGCTTAGTTTCAGAGGAGACCATAGGTTCTACAGTACATCACATTTTCAAGTCATCTACACCCTATGTATATAATGCCCCCCCACACACATCTTTTTGTAGGCATAGAAGCCAAGATAAGAAGATAGTAAGTTTCAAGGTCTTTGCCCCTCTTGATAACTAAGCTTCGAAGAAACACAGTCATTCCTTCAAGAAGGCATCTCGAACTCATCCACGAGGTGGTGGTAAGAATCCTGATGATTTTTTGCTATGGCAATAGGTCTAAATTTTGCCTCTGGGCCATCTTGGAGAAAAAGAGAAGGGGAAAATAATATCAATCCTCCAGAATGCTGGGAATGCCAATATAATGATCCACAGATGTGGAAAGTACTTGCCAATTCTCTTTACAAGACAGATTCGGTTTGGGAAACAATTACCACATCGCAGTTTGCCAGTCCTGACAGTTAGCAGACATTCCATCTTGTCCTTAGAGTGTCTATCGCCTCTGATTATTTAACACTCCCCTGCATGGCCAGGCTCCCAATGAGGAACTCATTAGCTCCATCTCATTTCAAATCCATTTCAGGCTTTTCTTTCAGTGTCTGAGCACATGGGTAAGGATTCAGCTTATAATCATATTTCTCAACTTTAAGATGTTGTTCTAAGTATATATTTTCTTCTTAAAACTTTCTGTGGATTCTTAATCACTTCATTATATCATTTCTCTAGTAAATTTATTTAAAGTGATTCCAACATGGGCATCTTTTTTTTTTTCCCTTCCAGCTTTCTTAATAAGATGAATGATCCACTAATAAGAGGAACGATCTTTAAATATTGTTTTATGCTGCCCTATCCACCCTTATTTCCAATTTTCACTTTTGAATTTTCTATTTCCATAGAAAGGCTGTATAAATCAGCCTTTTGTTTGGGTACAGAGTCCTTTGTCCCCTGAAATAAAAAAAAATCACCATGAAGTGCAGTGGGTTTAGCCTGAAGCATCTCCAATAATGAATTGGAAAGGCAAAGGAAGGTGTGAATAATAAAACTGGAACCCCTCATTATTCAAGTCTGTGAAAAGTGAGGACTATATTTTGCTGACATAGTGCTGACAGAAGAAATGGAGAACTAGCAAAGGCTAATTCAGAGTATTTGCTTTCCCCATCTACTTATATATGCTCGTAGGTAGTTCTGTAGGGTGAAGACTCTGTGAAGCTCTATCCTTGCCACATCGGCCCTGCAGAATCGACCAGCTCGCCTCCCCGCGCATGTAGACGATGTATACATACACACAACGACGTATCACAGACCCAGAAACCAATGCCAAGACAGTGCAATTAGCACATCGCTCTTACAAGTAGAGTCTCAGGGCTAAAGCAGAATTACATTTACAGGGTTGGATTATTTCATAACCCCAGAACACTAACTTTCACTAGATGTATATGGAAACAAGCAAGCTGCTCCCTCCAAAGCAAAACACAATTTTCACTTGAAAATAAGTGCTAACTCTGCCTGTCTTTCCTCAGTGGTACCAAATCCATGTAGTTTTGTGCAATTGTTCAATTGTGTGAGTGTTTGAATCTTTGAGAGTTTATAATCTAAAACAAATAGTCGTTGAAAACATTCTCACCCCTCCTTAACCACTGGGTAAGAATAATCAAGGTTCCTTACATGCTCTGCCAGCTGGACCACCATAGTCCTCCACTGTAACCCTCAGTCCTTGGTAACTGCTGATTACAAAAAGATTTTATGGAGTGTGGTCACTTTACAGCAAAACCAAAAGTACCTGTGCAATTTACATTCTAAGGGGGATATTTTATCGATACAATTCCAACCAAACAAGCCTTTCTTTTTATGTGAACAACAGTACATTTGCTTACCCTAAAATATATTTAATACCCACTGCATCACTCATTGTGCATATAGGTTTGACTGCCATGGTCTCTATGAGAATTCATCTAGAGAATTAGACATTTGTCACTTCTCTAGATATATATTTATGAATACCTTAGCCTCTTCTATTCACTCTCAACTTCATATGGGAGATTTTAGTTTATTTATTCATATGGGACTGATTTTTTTAAAACAGTTTCTATGCTCTTTAGTAATAACAGAGATGATACTAACCTGACTTCCACCCTCTGTTAGCCCCATGACCACCACAAGGTAGCAGGAACAGGATTGGAACAAAAGTAATAGATTGTTCCCTTTCTTAATTCATCATGAAGTATTCACTGAATGCCCAGTACTCCAAGGGTTGCACTAGACATGGGCTATACAAATATAAATTATACGTTGTTCTTGCCCTTGGAGGAGCTCAAAGTCTATCAGGGCAGGTATATATTATTGTAATAGGAGTACACAAAAAGTGCTATAAAATGTAGAGCAAAGGTCCTGCACAATCATTTTTGCAAAGCCTTAGCTAGAGACTTAAACAGATAAATTTATGGAAAATATTCATAACTTTTCCTGTATATTCCACCTTCAATAAACTGCTTTGTTTCTCTTCTTCAAAGCAAACATCTATCTATCCAGATATTTTTTTTTCTGTAGAGGGAGATGGATTAACTCTTTAGGAACAGCAAGAAAAGATGATCTTTGTCTGTAAAGTACCTTGGAAGAAGCCCAATTCTCTCCATTCTTTCTTCATTTCAGGTTGGGGGATTCTGAAAACCCTCCTTCCCATTAGTCAGTCTTTTTTTTTTTTTAAGATTTTATTTATTTATTTGACAGAGAGAGACACAGCGAGAGAAGGAACACAAGCAGGGGGAGTGGGAGAGGGAGAAGCAGGCTTCCTGCTGAGCAGAGAGCCCGATATGGGGCTCGATCCCAGGACCCCGGGGTCATGACCTGAGCCGAAGGCAGACGCTTAACAACTGAGCCACTCAGGCACCCTAGTCAGTCTTGACAGTAATGGCTTGGGGACTCTCCATGGGGTAGGGACAGCAATCTCTACTTCCACTCCCTTCCTCCTCTTTGTTCTGTTCTTTCAAAGCCATGTGTTTAAGACCTCTTGCATCTCATTTGCTCTTCCAAATATCCTTTAAGATTTCTGCTGTCCTTCCACCACTCCTAAAAGCCTTCTTTGTCCCCACAAACCATTTGACTCTATTTAGAATGATCTCTGAAAACTAGATGAAGTATCTTCTAGTAAATAATTGACTAAAAGTTGTCCATCTACGTGAGGTCTCACCTCTATGCCTTGGGTAAGTTTTGCCAATCCTGAAAGTCACAACTGTCTCTTCTCTGCAGGAAGCTCATTCACTTAGAGGTGCCACACTGGGAGGCTAAAAATAGAGTGTATTCTCCAAGATATTCAGGGAAATAGAAATCAGGCTGTTGAAATATTTCTTATAAAAAGTCTTGACAGTTTGTCCACGAAAGCTCTGGCTTCCTTTGAATTCCCCCATAGCTGCAATCCATCAAATCCATATTGTAACACCAGCCTGCCAAGGGGAATTTGAGACAGTGTGTAGCTCTGTTACTCATTTTTCTTTAACCTAAAGGTTTTGACATACTTAGGCTTCAATTATCCTACAGGTCACAAGTGGACCTAGTAAATAAAGAGGTTTCCTTGTTCCTGCAGATGTAAAAGTGGTTAATGGAAGAAGGTATAAGCAAACTCTAAACTTTCAGAATACATGGAGGATAACTGAGTGCTATTTCATGTCTCTCATGCAGTTTGAAAATGTTTTCTTTATAAGACACATAGTGTAATTGAATTTCTTTCGCATACTGTTCTTGGTTCTTTCTCAACCTGTCTTCCCTTCCCCTCACCCATCCCCTTACTTGGTGAACATCTAGTTTGTAGATTTGGGTGTCCCCAGTTTTCATCTCTGCTCCCACAAATCCTGAATAGTTGAACCTCTTAAAGGGAAAAACAGTGTAAACAGACACACAAAGACTTTGTAAAATAGGGCTGTCAGTCAAGCTTTCTCCTGGACATCCTATATACACATCTGTTTAGTAGGGATAGACAAATTTCCTTTTGATTTGGCAGTTATTTGAAACCTTCATAGAAGGTTTTAATATTGAACTCTTGCTATGTGTGAGTGATTTTTCTCTTATTTTGCACTAAGGTACTCTGAGGAAGAACAGAAAAGCACATTTTTTTTTTTTTAGTGAAATATTGTACTTTGTAAGCTAGTTGTCTGTCTTTTGTAATGTTTATAGACTACAAAGTGGCTGAACAGACATGAACAAGGATGAAGGCAAAAGCTGGTGTTGGTGTTTTGACCACACTTGCCCAGAACATGTTGAGGAGGAAGAGGGAATCTGTGGCAACAATCAGTGACTGCCTCAGGTGTGGAGGGTCATTTCTCCCACTGTGGATCAGTGGCAGCAACTCTTCCCACTTTCTTGGCTCCTTATTCAGGAGTCCCTTCAATACATTTGGATCATTGTCTTACACATTAGGGAAAGAGGCAATATCATGGAGTATGCATGAAGAATTCATTACCTACCTTTGCATGACATTTTATTGACTCTTCCCAGCCCTACTCCAACCACATCTTTTTCTTTTTCACTATTTTTATTTCATCAAGATTTTCTCAGGATGCTTTAGTTGCTGTCACCACAATGATCTACCCTGCCCAGGTTGAATACCCAGAAACAATTTTAAGGAAAAGAAAATGTCCAAAAACTTTTTAGATCCACTATCTTGAATCAAAACTCCCATGTGTGGAATGCTTGAGGTCCTGAAATCA